CCCCCCCCAGGCCTGTGGCTGCAGTGAGGCCCCCTTCCAAGGTTCCATTGGGATGCCAGGAAGCACTTCCTGACAGTCAGGACCCCGAGGGTGTGGAATGGGCTTCCCCGGGAGGTGGTTGAGGCCCCATCGGTGCGGGTGTTCAAGGATAGGCTGGACATGGTGGGCATGTCGTGAGCGGAGCCGGCTGGTGCCAGAGGTCAGACTAGATGGCCCAGGAGGCCCTTCTGACTTGCTCTGTTTCTATGTTTCTTTGTTGCCAGGCCCCACAGAATGGGATGGGCACCCTTCCGGGATGCAGGGTGGCTTTGTGCGATTCCCGTGCTGGCTTCCCAGGGCCTGCCAGCCGGAGGCAGGTGAAGAAAGCCAGGCACGCACCCCACCAGACCACCGGCACGGCGAGCAAACACACGCACAACCAACATGCCGTGGACCGGGGCTCTGAGCGCGCGTGTGCGTGCCGGCGTGTGGTGGGCAGCGCCTGTGCATGCTGCTGATCACCTGGTGGGGGGATTGCGGTCCGTACCTGCGCAGATTACCCAGACATCCATGCTGGGCTGCGTCCTGCCCGCCCCCCGGCCTGTGGCTGGGGCTGCGGAAGGGGGATTCACAGGCTTCCCAAACCGGGTGCTGCCCAGAACATCCGGGGGGCAGCTCCCAGCCCCCCAGCCAGCTCCGCAGGGAAGCTGGCCAGCCAGTGGGGCAACGCAGAGGCGGGAGGGGAGGAGGGAGGTGGAGAGGCAGACAAAGGACTGGCGGCCGGCCGGCTGGCCGGCCACTGCTCACCCCGGGCCGGCCTGCGTGGGAGGAGAGGCGACAGGGCCCTGCTCCGGCCGTCTTGCCCGTGTCCACTCTGTTGCGCCAACAGGCCGTGTGTTGTTTCGGGGACAAAAGAGCGGACAAGGTCGCCACCCACGCCAGGGCTGTGCCACGTGGCCGACGCTGCTGCTTTGGGCATGTGACCGGCGAGCGGCCCAGGGAATCCCGAGTGGCGGCTGCCCCTGTGGGCAAGCGTCCAGGGTTCCCTCCCCGCTGGAAGCTGTGAGGCCATGCTGGGCTTGTGGCACCCTGGCTCTCCCCCCAGGTGCTACGGGGACCGCTCCAGCCGGGGGCTTGGGAAAGGCAGAGATTCAGGGACATTCAGCCCAGCCTGGGCTCCCCCTGGCCCCCGCATGCCCCAGAGGGCTTCCCGCTCTCCCCCATGCGCTGTGGAGGGGCACCCTGGCAAGAACCCACGGCTGGACGTGGTGTGGCGGCCTTACCCCAGCGCTGCCCCCCACACCCTTGAGACCCAGGGGTGCCAGGGACGGATGCTCAGACCTTGGCTGAGGTACGGGTGCTTCTGTGCACTGTTCAGGGGCAAAGCCTGGGCACTCGGCCCATGCTCAGTGTTCCCGAGCCCTACCCCAGAAAGAGGCTTCCGACTGACACCCCCGTGGCCTCCTCTGGAGGTCCTTGACGCCCTCCTACAGGAGAAGTGTGGGAGCTGGGGGAAGCAAAGGCCCCGCCGCCCTCCAGCCCCCCAGCTCACCACGTCCCCGAATTCACGGAGCCGTTATGGGGCCTCGCTGATGAATTCCCTTTGTCACAGGCAACCCGCTCGGCTCCGCAGGCCGTTCCCCTGGGCCCTAGCAAGGTAAACTAGCCGGGGAGGGGGAGAGCCGGCAGCCCCCGCCCCCCCCCACAGCCCATTAGGTGGCACTGCCGGCTCCAAGTATGGTGGCGAGGCAGCCCCCCCCCCCCCGTGGCTCTCAGCCCAGGATCCCCGAAGCCCGCTCATTAGCCGTGGCGTGTTCCCAGTGTGGAGACAGGCTGAGAAACAGTGACCTAATTGGGGAGTGACCCCAGCCGACTCCTGGCTCCCAGCCAAGCGGCTGAGTTTGCCGAGCTAATGGGCCGCCCCCCCCCCCCCCCCCCCCCCCCC